GAGATATGGTCAAGAGAAGAGTTAGGAAGAGAGTTATTCTTCAACCAAGTCGGAAACCAACCCTTTAAATACATTTTCGAGTAGTACAATTTAATTTATTAGACCATTTCAAAGGTTTGTCGCATAGTTGCTTCCAACTTCTTAAATTCGAATAACCGTTGGTGAAGTGATTGTTGACAAAATGAATCAAATCAACATTTATTTTTACGTTATCAAATTCACGATTTTGATTGGTCAATCAACAATTGTATGCTCAAACAAATAAATTATTTTTTGTGTCAATACTTAGTAAACGTTCTGGTCTTGGGATAATTCTTGTTATTTTATTAATATTTCACATGCTAAATATTGTTCAATTCAATAAATATTTATTTATAATAAATATGCCAAAAGAAATTAAACTAAAACTAAAGCTGTTGAAAAAGTGAATTTTTTATTCTTTTTATTATTTCTTTTTTTAATAATACTAATTCATGATTTCAATATTCATGAAAGTTTCAAAACAAGAATCCAAAAGAAGAATTTGTGAAAATTTATTGTTTTATTTCTAAAACAGTAAAACAGTTTTTTATTTTAAACGTAACTACATAGTCAACCCTGTTAATTCAAAAACCCTGTTAAACCAAAATTGGTTCCAGAAGCGGTAAATCCACCCCGTTAAAACCAAATTACTAACTAATAACTTAATATTAATATTAATTTTGAATGGAATAACGGGTTGACAATGTGGTTTGTGGCCTAGTAACCAGGCCCTATAAATTACGCGTGCAAAGTTTCTATCGAAATTTCAATCAATAAATAGAAAAATCAGGAAACACGAAATTTTGCATGCATATTCTACAGGATAGGCTACAAGCTAAATATTTTTATGTGTAATAGATACACTTGGTTTCTTCGAAATTTTGCTGTAGTGTACCATTTGTTCTAATAAAATCTATTTGAATCTACTAAATGGATAAATTTATTTTTTATCAAAAAAAGAAATAAAGTATATAAATATGGACTGAGATTGATGTATCAAAAAAATTGCAACATTAAAAATCATTAAATTTTATACATTTAATAATATTATTTCGAATAAATTCTTTAAAAATAATGCTGTTTAAATTGACTACTACTTGTGTGGTTGATTCAATCATTAACACCAAAGGAACAAAATTAATTATTTTGCAATAAAAGCTATTTGTTTGTTTATTTATTGATTTTAATATTAATACTAATCCATAGTTTCTATTAGCACAAAAGAATTTTAAATCATGCACAAACATAACAGCTTGATAGCTTGATTGACATAGTGGTGAAGTCTTGCAATTTTTTTATTGTATATTTTAAATACAATTAATCATACACCTTTAATAAAATAATCACGACTTAACTATTTAATCATTTCCTTCATTTCCTTGTATGTGAATGCCTCCATCCATTGAATATTCATGATTGTCATGATTATTATTCAATACATTTGATATCATCATTGACATAACAAACAATTGCATCATCCAGGTAGTAATGATACCAAGACCATGCATGAATGAAACTTTAACAATGTGTGTCTACCCAGATCTCTGGGGCTCACAAAATAAATTACTTTTCCTTATGAATAATAAATCTGATGTTGATTGCAGGTGTCAGATTTAATTAAATTTCCTATCACAAACAAGTCCCCAGTGCTTTCGCACGCCTCATAGCCATGGAATTTTTTCCATGGGTAAGGTGAAAAGATGTATGAAGGCTTTGGACAAAACATTCCCTATCTCCCTCTCAGACCAGGCTGGCTGTTACCATATGGGCATTGATCACTGCTTGGGTGATGATTGCTTTGTGTTATACCCCTCTAGTATAAAGTTGGTGCCTGCAACTCAGGAGGTTGCAACCTGGGTTGTTGTCTTGTTGGTGGCATGCAAACTTACCAACAACCATACCCCATTTAAATAACAAGTTCAGTTGGTCAAACAAAAATTAAAGAAAAACAGAATATTTATGAAAATGATTAATTTATACATAACATACCAAAATCCAAACCATTTTATGACCTTTTTCTTTTTCTTGTTGGCCATATTGCTGACAAAGATGTATATAATCATGCAGTTAACTTTTAAGCTAGCATGCCAGCAGCCATCTCTGGTCTGGGAAGATTAGTGAAAGTGTCATCAACAATTGGTGCAGTCTTGGTAAACTCCAGGGCCTTGCGTCCCTCCCCTGAAATTTGATTGCATCATTGTATCATCGAGGGGTCGCAAGTCAGATTAGCCTTTACACATGACAAGGAAGATGTATGAGAATGACTGTATGGACACTGTCAAAAAAATGTATCTCCAAAAAAAAAAATCAATCAATTCATGTCTGTCCTACCAAAAAAAACCAATAGGATAAATAATTAGTGTACATGTTGATCAAATCACAAACTTCTTTTTAAAAATGTCATGATTCAACAATAAAAGAAGTAAAGAAATTCATACTGGTGCACTAGCTGGGTAAGTGTTTTAAGGATGGTGATGGTTATCGCCCACCACTCGTCGTTACTCTAGTTAAATATAAAAGAGCTATCAGTTTATTAAATTAAGCCAATAATTTAAGAATATATGATAAATATTGGCACTTTCAATATTTACTAATAGGCTTTTAGACTATATGATAAAAATATTAGGAATATTATTACCATATCACTATGCCAATACCTTAATTATTTTTTTAAAGAATTATCAGACTCTGATATTTACTGATACCCCATTACCAAATTTGGTATCATTCAACCAGTAAAAAGAGAATCAATATATTATATACAGTCTGCCCTTGTTTCAACAAAGTGGCTGGACATATAAGAAAATTTTATTCATTGAAACAAGGTTATTAATCATGTTTCAATGAATTTTTATATGCCTTCAATGTGTAACAACGTTTTTAAAAATTCGTTGTATTAAAAATTTAATTATACTTTGTTGAAACAAGGTTTGTTGAAACAAGGGTTCACTGTATAAGCAAAGAAAGATGGAACCTTAAATTAGCATAAAAGAATTTTAAATATAATTAATTGCATATCTTTAATAAAACAAACATGACTTAACTATTTAATCATTTCCTTGTATGTGAATGCCTCTATCCATCAAATATTCATGATGGTCGTGATTATCATGCAATGCATTTCATATCATCATTGACAGGTAGTAACAATACCAAGACCATGCATAAACAAAAATTTTAATAATGTGTGTCTACCCAGATCTCTGGGATTCACAAAATAAATATTTTTGCTGATTGTCATTATGAATAATAAATCTGATGATTGCAGGTGTCAGATTTAACTAAAATTTCCAATCACCATGCACAATTGCAAATCTTTTCAATGAAAAAATTAAGCTTATACATTAGAAGGCTTTGGACAAAACACATTTCCCTATTTTTCTCTCAGACCAGGCTGGCTGTTACCATATGGCAATTGATTGCTGATGATAGTTGACATTTATGTGATGGTTGCATTGTGTTATACCTCTCTAGAATAAAGTCAGTGTCTGCAATTCAGGATGTTGCAACCTGGGTTGTTGATTTGGATTTTCCCTGAAGTCCCTATTTAATTAAATAACATCAAGTTCAGTTGGTCAAACAAAATTAGAGAAACAGAAAATTTATGAAAATGTTTAATTTATAACATAACATACCAAACAAAATCCAAATCATTTTATGACTTTTTTCTTGTTGGTCATATTGCTGACAAAGATGTATATAATCAATAATTTAAATCTATAGGACAGAGGACTGATTGGGCAAAAACCCATCCAGTCCCCTACCCAAAATTATAAATTGGTTAGTATCAGAGAAACAGAGCATTCAGGAAAATGATTATACAAAACAAACACTATTTACAACTTTCCTCTTAACATCAGAGTCCAGCAGCCTTCTCTGGTCTGGTGTTGTGAGGGAAAATTAGTGAAAGTGTCATTGACAATTGATACAGTCTTGGTAAACTCCAGGGCCAAGTTCTCCCCCCTGGAATTATGTTGCATCATTGTATAATCATGAGAACCTTGGTCAAATTAGCCTTATGAACATGACAAGGAAGATGAGAATGACTGTGTAAAGTCTTTAAGGTAGCGTGCTTTAACGACTGCCAATTTCGATAAAACATTGCATATTTTTCAACAGTGTATTATTGCCTTGACGTCTTCTTGTAAATACATATTAATAATATTATTATTACGCGAAGTAAATTCCCAAACATTCATTCCCAGCAAGATCCTTCTCCGTGTTCTGATTCCAATTAAAATATTTATAAAAATATCAATACAAATAAAAAAAAGTACCTCTGGTTAGTTATTAACACGTTTTCTCTAGGAGACTCAAACCAAACCAAGCAACAACATTCACATTTTGTCATCTTGGATTCTGTCAAAAAATAAATTGTTTTTACAAAAAAAAAAAAAAACAATTTGCGTCTGTCCTCCCAAAAAAAAACCAATAGTAATAGGATAATTAATTAACGGCGTACGCGTCGATCAAATCACAAACTTTTTTTTTTGTAAAAATGTCTACCGATTCTAAAACAAAAAGAAAAAGAAATCAATCAAACGCAATTGCTGAGGAAAATGAGTAAGTGTTTATCATGAGTGGTGGTGGTGGTCGCCACTCATCATCACCCTAGTTGCAATGTAAAAATCGATCTTTTCGATTTGTCGATCAATTCATAATAATAATAATAATCGATATAATCGATTGCGAAAAATTAATCGATTAGCATCATTTCATATAACAGATTATTATTATCTTTTTTTTTTTAGATTCTGTCAGCTCGATGATTGCTTTTTTATCTTTAGGAAATAGGATAAACATATCCATCTATTCAAACATGATTTAATTGTGCTTAAATTTTAGATCATGACGCCAACATTTTCCACCGATCCTTGTCTTCCATCTATAGAAAGGTCTTACTTGCGGCAAATTTTCCACATCTCCAATTAAAACATTTTGTCGTTTTGATAATGTAAATCACTTTCAGCATATTAATATTGAAATACTTAACAAAAGCCTTTGACTTTTTATGTGGTTTTAACTAGAAAATAATATTGAATAAACATAATTACATATTTCTTACATCATAAAATTAGTCCAGATTAAACGGAATCCATTTAGTATAATTATTGCCTTTGGCTAATTCTTCATTTTCACAATTCATTACATTTTATTAAAAAAAGGAATCAATGATAATGTGGATGTAAATATTATGACAAAAGACGTGACAACTAAATTTTCAGATAGCAAATATGAGTTTCTTTCTACGCGTTCAAATAATATTTTTCTTTTTGATAATTTTAGGATCGAACTATTTTGTCAAAAGCTATGTTTCATTTAACTCTCTCTATAACGAACCTTTCTCCCGTATATGTAATTTTTCTGCCTTTGTTCGACATAGAGAGAAATTAATTGTAAAAAAATGAATCGGGGACAAAAGAGAAATTTATTATAGAGAAAGTGAACTGTATAATGCATCTTTCCAATAGCCAGAACATAACGCATGTTTTTAATCAAGAGGATTATAATAATCAAATGATAGATGAGAGAGATTCGGTTGTTTTCGTTTTCACGAAGTAATTTTGGATTTTATTTATTTATGTACAGGAAAATAAAAATAAAATAAATAATATAAATAAATGTTTACAATTTTTTTGATTTTCTGATATTGAAAATTTTACGCAATTTCGAGAATTTCTTATTCTGCCTTTTAATGCTGACACCATCGTCATTAGCATTATCACCAAAATCATCACTATTTCTTTTATCGTCAGCTTTGTTAGTAGTTAAATTAATAATAGTGGAATCACCACTTACATAACCATCATTATTGACATTTCTATTATTGTTGCCTTTGCCATCAATTACACTACTACCACCATCGTCATTATCACCACCACCGTCGTCATTATCACCATCATCACCACCCTTATCATCACCATACTTAATCTTATCACTCTCAACATTATAATCGCTCTTATAATCGCCACCATCATAATTGCCACCATCATCATCCTTAATCTTATCACTCTCAACATTATAATCGTTCTTATCATAATTGTCACCATCATCATCCTTAATCTTATCACTCTCAACATTATAATCGTTCTTATCATAATTGTCGCCATCATCATCCTTAATTTTATCACTCTCAACATTCTCTTCTGGAGGTTCTGGAGGTTCTGGTAACTCTGATGGTTTATTTAGTGAATCAGCTTCTTCAATTAATCTACCAAGTGGACGACTAATATAACACGCGTCTCTATGGTATTTGTCATTCTCTTCATTCAAAAGATATTTTTCCGACTTGACAATTTTTTGACGTTCCAATTCTGCTTTTTCGATTACTCCGCCTTCATATGGTAAAAGATGTTGATTTCGTAAATGTACATAAATTTCTTCACCAGTTGGTCTATTATCAGGATTGGGATCCCAACAACTTTTCATCAAATCAGCATAGAAATCAGGTGTGTCCTCTGTAATTTCTGGTCTTTTTCCCTCCCGAATATCTGTTATCAAAAGGTGGTCGTGTGGTAAATTATAAAATGGTTTTTTTCCTGTGGTGAATTCCCACATTATCATACCAAAGCTATATATATCTGATTTTTTTGTATATGGTTCGGATGATAATACTTCGGGAGCTAAATAGGGGATGACACCATAAACTTCTTTTGAATCCTTGTTTTCAATAACTTGTTGACATAATCCTAAATCTCCTATTATACCAATATCTAATTCGTTAGTTAAAATATTACCACTGTGTAAATTACAATGTATGTAATTTTCTGCATGTATTTCATTTAATCTAATTATTTAAAAAAAATCTTTTAATTATTTTAAACAAGTTCAGTATTTTAAAAAGAAAGTCATGACTTACTTACCCTTTTAAAATATGAATAAGTGATCTTAATTTTTTTGGCCAGGTAATTTCTTTAAATTTTCTTGATAAATAATTGTGTAAACTTCCATCAAGATCACGATCAAATACCAGCATATATTCATTTCCATTTGGATCTTTAGTGACTCCATAACATTTGTTTATTGTTTTTAAGTCTTTATTACTATTATGACTTATTATCTAAAATATTACGATGATAATAATAATTAATAATAATTTAGAAATTATAAGAGATAATTCTATTATTATTATCATATAAAGTTTACCTACCTCCTTTATAATATCCATCATTTTATTTTGGTTATATAATTTTTTCAATACAACAGCCTTTTCTTCATATTTGTAATTTGAATCATTAAAATAGTTAATCCAAATTGCTTTGTAAACATCTCCAAATCCACCTTCAGCCAAAAGCTCAACACCCTTAAATTCCTCAAATGGAACCCATTTGGTATAATAATAACAATGAAGATATATTGCTAATTCTTGATTTCCACATTTGTCAGTTAATTTCTCGATCTTTTTTTCATCACATTCATCACATATTGTCCACATATGTAATTTATGATTTAATTTATATATTCTTTCAGTCAATGTATTATTAATTCTTGCTAAATCGTTTAAAGGCTTTTTTTTTAATTCGTCAATGAATTCGTCAATTAAACCATGAATTTTTTCGTCCTCTAATTCCTTGTTTTTACATTTAGTACAACTTTCCATTATTTTCAATGTCTCAATTAATTCATTCAATAAATCATTAATTCTAATTGATCCGTTATCTTCTCTATTAATTATCAAGCTATTCAGTTCATTTAATTTGTCAATTAGTTCGTTCAATCGATTTGATAATTTTTCTGAATCCATTGATTTTATTTTTTGATTAAAATATTTCTCTAAACTTTTAGGGAGATAATTTAATCAATTATACGGAAAAAGAAAAGATAGTTAAATGTTTATGAATGATACCCAAATTAGGTTTTTGTTTCATTTTTGTAGACTTTCACAATATTTGTTACAAGTAAATAAAAAAACTGAATATTTTTCGACCACCATCACCATAATTATTCTAAATAGTTGTAATCATTGACACCAATGGGATCTGAGGGCTTGCTGGTATTTCCCATGATTAAAATAATGAAGATTAGATGGCTATAGTTTTTAGATGTTGAAGATCCCAACCAAGAATGGTATAAAAATTGAAAGGTTTTTGTTGGTGACAATAATGATAACGTCATATTGTTGTAACAAAAATGATACCACCAGATTAGGCTTTTAATTTATTACAAAAAAATATATAAAATAATAAAAGTAAATAAATTAATCGATACTACCATCCATCCCTTTATTTTAAGCTCATTAGTATAAAAACTGAATCGTATTCGTTAAAGTATTTTTGTTGGACTTTTTTATTTGAAATCATTATTGGTCAAAATTATTTTGTGAATTAGCTTTATCAATTAATTTACAGAGCGAGTGACTTGTACGGAATGCGCCCAAATGATGGTGTTTGTAATTCTTTGTATCTGGATGGTATTTTCCTGAATTAATAATTTCTTGTCTATTTTTTTTTTTCTCTAGACACTCTTTAGCTTCTTTGGTATTTGGACCAGAATATCTGTTATAAAGTGATGATTATGTAAAAAAGACTTTTTGCCTGAGGTATGTTCCCACATTATCATCTCAAAAAATCTGTAAACATCTGCTGCCTTTGGTCAATCACTTAAATACCAAACAAATATATAACCAATCCTAGCACTAGTACTAAAATATATATTGTGTAAAAAAATATTATCACAGCGTATTGTATCCGTCCGTAACATTCATTAATATTAATTTTTAAAAACTTTACTCTTTTTGTAACATCTGAATTTTAGTACAACAGCCTCCTTTAGCCAAATATCCATAATATTTTAAACTTATTAGAGAACTAGTAGGTATACGGAAATATATTTCCATATCACAACTTGCTATTTAGTTATTTTCCCATACTCGTATTCATATTCACTCGTGTTCGATTTACATATTTTTGATGTAAATTATTTTAAATTATTTATATATTCGTGTTTTTTATATCAATATATAAGTAAAAAACTTATTAATTTTAAATAAACATAATTTGCTAATATTATCAGCTACGGCCATACATAGTGAAATGCACCGGAACCCGTCCGATCTCCGAAGTTAAACCACTAATGGCCCAGTCAGTACTATGGTTGGGGACAACATGGGAATACTGGGTGTCGTAGCTTTTTTTTACATCATTTTTGGAAACACGATTTCCATTCTTATTGGACAAAATAATCATCGTCATCAATTTTTTAGAATTTCCCACGAATCACATGATCCAGCCAAATTGTTATACAATCATTGCAAAAAAAAAAAAATTTTTATTTTTTTAAATTACATAATTAATTGATCGTATGATTTCAGAACATGCTTTTTTACGATCATAAAATTTTGACAAGCAAATCAATTTTAAGGATTTTTTGTGACACTCACCGTATTAAAAAATTACATGTGAAAAAGAAAAAGAAATCGAGCGATCCAACAAAGTTACCAAGAACAAATAAACAATTCGGCTTCGGCCACAAGTATCAATATTAATATGGCTGACAAAGCGAATATAAAGAACTGCGAGTTATAAAGTAACCAGTTTTTTTGCTATTGGTCGAAACTATAATCAAGGCGCAAAATTTTGTTTACAAGGAAACAATCTCTTATTTTCTTTTATTATTTAATTTTAATTTAATTTAATTTAATTTAATTTAATTTAATATGGATACCATTGAGGATATCAAAAAAGAGTTGAAAAGGGGGAACGGGGGGAAAAGAATTGAAACCAAAAAAGAGACAAGCGGGAGAATTACGAGATGCATAAACAAATTTCATCTGAAATTTTTATTATTTCCCACCCACAGTTTAACCAACCGCACTTAATTAAACTTTTATATGTCAAAACCGGTTTGAAACGTGTGATTTAAACTGGCTTGATATTCTGGTTTTTGTAATCTAAAAATAAAACAATTCATTCTATGTATAACTAAATAAAGAATTTTTATTTATTGTCACACTCTTTTGGCAACCGTTAAAAATTAACTACAACCAATCATAAAGAAAATAATGTAGTACTTAATTAACTTCAATAATAAATAAAAAAAAATTTTATAAAAAAAAAAAATAGAAACAATTACATAGAAACAATGTATTTGATATCACAAAAATCAATAATTGTTACAATAATATTTTTACTTTCCTTACTGACTATAGTATCATCTAACAATGACGATGATGGTCACTTAATGAAAAGAGGCAAGCGTTATATGCTAATTAGGAATTATTTATCTTCATCTTGATTTAATCCTTCTTTACGCTTTTTAATAATAGAGCCACAAAATCAAGTGACAACAAATACCAATACTCCAAAAACAACACCGACTGAAGTTGATCCAACGGTTCCAGCAGTACAAGTGATAATCACCGAACCCGCTTCGCCAAAAAATAATATCTATAAAATAGGATTTAACATTAAATTTGGTTGGAAATACTCGCAAAATTTTTCGATACCTCCGGAACAAATTAATGTATTTGCAAAAACACAGTCGCAACAACTTTACACAGTTGCTGCAAACCTCACAGGAAATACAACTGAAGTAATCTGGGATACTTCGAAACAATCATCATCCGGTAGTGGTAGCTTGCCAATGAGTACCTATAGGCTATTTATATTTGATGAACGTGGCATTGACGCCCCTCCGTCACCGGGTCGTTTACAAGCATTTTCTGGATTGAATTTCTATTTGTATACGCCGGGTGGAAGAACCGACCTTCCAGGTTTGTTCCGTGTATTATATTATTTATACCTATAAAATATTTATTTGTTGTTTCTCTTTTTGATCAATCAATCAATTTCCTGTATTATTTAGAATATACATGTGCTGTTTGTCAAGGTGATGCAACTCAAAATGGTCTACCGTTTATGCCACTTGTTATTACATGTAGCATAGTTGTTTTTACAACTATAAGAATTATACTAAGATGAAATAATTAGGTAATGGATTTTATGAAGATTTCATTTTTTTATTTTTTTTAACTAAATTAAATAATAAGGATCAATTCAATTTGAAAAAAAAACTTTTTTTTTTTTTTTGAGTGGGAAAAATTTTAATTTATATTAGTCTATACTTTTTCTATAAATAAATATTACAGACTTTTTGTAAAAACATGATGTAATGGTGTGATGTAATATTTTTTTTCATGAGGAAATTATCGTCATTATCAAATTTTAGCCAATAGGAGTATTATTTGAAGATTTTTTTTGATTTAAATAGGATAGGAAGGACGGATCAAGTAAAAAATAAATGAGAATTATTTGTTTTTTTTCGTAAAAATAAAATAAAAATAAAATAAAATAAAATAAAATAAAATAAAATAATATAATAATAATAAAAAATGAATCCATATTATTCTACCAACAACAGCAACAGTAATAACAGTAATAACAGCAGCAGCAACAACAACAACAACAACAATAATAATCCTCAAACTCAAACTACAGCTGCTTTTTCAACAACAACATCAAATAACTTTCCCAACTTTTATAATAAATGGGACTATATTATTGATGAAAATCACAACAACAATGATCACAACAACAACGTCCCAAAGACTCCCTCTTCTGCCGGTTCTTCTTTATTATATAAACTATATAATAATAACAATATTCGAAAAACCGATGACGATCAAAAACGTAAATTGGAAATGGTGGAAGACGTTGCCCAACAATTACCAACAAAATTAAGTCGTATGTAATTTTTATTTTTTCTTCTTGTATTCATAACATATCCCGTATTGATTTATTTATATTAATATTGTTATAATATAGATAATTTAAATACAGACTCAATAACGCATTCTGATTTAATGACTCAACGTAACTAAAATTCATTAATTGATTATGTTGTAAAGTTTTTAATATTAAAAAGCGCTCATACATATTCATTTATTTTTTAAATTATAAAGAATCTCAATCAACTCAAATAAATACCGCAACGGAAGATTCTGATCAACAACTACTTCGACCTCCGAAAAAAAAACCAGGCAGAAAACCTTCAACGAATACTGCTATCTCTGTAAATTTTTAATCATATATATATATATATACATATTGCGCATATTTGTTTATACGATAAATTATTAAATGTATTTCAAATTAAAAAAACAGAAACGTAAAGCACAAAATCGGGCTGCTCAACGTGCATTTCGTGAAAGAAAAGATCGATATGTTAAAGATCTTGAGGTTAAAGTGAAGGAGCTTGTATCTATAACAACAAAAAATACTCAAGAAAACCAGCAATTAAAAATATTAATAGATCAATTGCAAGCAGAAAATTTTATTTTAAAACAAACAAACTTCACTTTTGAATTTCCTTTGAATAACAATAACAACAACAACAACAACAACAACAAACCGTCATTATTCCCTACTGAAACATTTGTAAATAATAATACCATGGTTACTAGTAGTGATGATCAAAATTATAAACCTAAAACGGCATCAACCTCTCATCAAAATCAACCTTCTTCTGCTACCACTAACAACAATGTTACGGATTCTTTTGTCGATCCTTACACGCCGCCTTCTTCAAATTCTAGTGACGATGAATCAGCATCGTCTCCAAAATCATTTTATACAACGGCAAATTCAACAACAGTCAATAACAATAACAATCATCGTCATCATAAACATTCAGCGTCATTTGACAACATACAAGATATACAGCAATATTTGTTACTATCAGATAACAACAATAACAATAACAATAACAATAACAACAATAATAATTTACCATTAAATAAATCATCAGATGACTTTCTCCTTCCGGCTTATAAATTAAATTCTTCTAATCATCAAGGTGAAAATAAATCAACTAATACAAAAAGACCATCAGTGGATAGAACAAGATCGTCATCAGAGCCAATACCATATTCAGCATCTTACGAACCATCATTGCTAGTAGACGTCAAACCAAATAAAATTGTACATGCTAAACCTCAAAATGCAGAAGAATTTTGTAAAAAATTTCTTGATAATGATGATGGCGACGATAGCAATCAACAAGATTCATCATTATCTGATATTATTAATATAATAAAGGAAGAAAAAGACCCCAATATTGGATTAACATTACCACCAACGCCTACAACAGCAACATTTACTACAAATAATCGAGACTATAATTCCAATTCTACTGTCCAACAGTTAACTCCTTTTACCGAAACCCTTCCTCCTTTACCTCCACTTTTTGAAGAAAACTTTCGAAATTTTGGAAGTTTTTCTCCAATGGCAACTACAACACCACCTGATAGTAACAATCACAACAACACCAGCAATAACGTCTATTATTATTTTAATAACCACAACACTAACTGCACAAATAATAATCGTAACACTGGTAATCACAACGTTAATGGTACCAATAACAATCATCTTCGTAACACTAGTCTAAACCATAACCACAACATTAGTAGCATCAATAATAATCATAATAATTATCACAACAAATTTAATAATAAGAAATTATTATCATGTAGCAAGTTGTGGGAAAGGATTCAACAACATCCCAAATTTGATGATCTTGGAGGTGATGAGATTGATAGATTGTGTTCAGAATTGAAAACTAAAGCTAAATGTTCCGCAAATGGTGGTTTGCGTGTTCTTGCCGAAGATGAGTTAGAAGCAGTTTTAGTGAAATTAGAAAAAAACAACTAAAATCAATTTAACATTCAAAAAAAAAATTAATTAAACTCCAAAAAATCAAAAAAAAAAATATTAAATAACTTTGCTATAAATTTTTTAAAAAAAAAAAACCATATATATATATATGTATATATGTATATATACACATTAGTTATTTTTTAAAAAAAATTGCTTCTAATAAATAAAATGAAATCAATTTTATTTTATTTTTATTATTAGAATTAGAATTGAATTAGAATTGAGTATTATTTTTATAATTGTTGAATAGCATTTCAATTTGTAATATTTTCTTTTAATTTAATAAATCTGAAAAAGAAACTTTTTTCAAAGCAGTATCCACATACATTAGCGTTAGTGGAGGTGTATTAAATTTTAAAGTACCGTGTTCAGATTTTTTTTTATAAAAAAATTTATGCAAATATTTTATTTTATAACAATTGGAAATCATATTTTATAAATTTTAAGAGCATCATATAATGAATGATCAATTATTAGTTGAACCTTTTCTGACCGAGAGACTTCCATTGGAGCTAATGGTTTGTGTAGATTATGGGTTCTTGTGAAGGGTGATAAAGTTGCTGAATGACTTTATAGTGTAGCCACATTTTGAATGATTGGTTGATACATTCAACGGATCCTAATGATGATAATTCTATTACTATGGGATTGCACACCATACACAAGTTTGTATTTATTAGTCACTCCAACAGCGCAATACCTTCTATGCTCTCCTTCATCTTACCACCCTGTATACCAGTTGTGCCAATTGACATAACTGGCAGAATAAATGTGTGCGATTCTCAACATATACACAATTACAATCACAAGTTATAGTTCTTTTTTTACAAACATGCAATTAAGTACTCTTAACACGTCTCATACCCACACAATTTTTTACACGGGTGAAGAACCTCACATTTGGTAGCGAGAGAGACTTTAACAGTCTCTTTGACCATGATGCAATTTCAATAAACTTGAGAGCCCATGAAAATTTAATCGCATTGGTGTGTCATTGGGGATTAGCGAGGACAACTATGGTTTAAAATATTGGCTATATCTTCCGCTGCCTAATAAAAAAAATTTGCTTGTATCTTCCTTCCGCTGCCTAAAATGTTTCCAGATTGTTTAAGAATAGTTTTTCACGAGATAAAGAGACCTTCAATAGTTGCGTTGCTTTGACATTTCTTATGATTATTCATTATTATGTGATTTTAATAATTAACAATTTGGGAAAACTGACTTTTGTAACAAGATCATTGAAAGGTATTTTGGTTTTACTATGTTTAGATCAATCAGAAGAGATATTGATACAGTCGTTAATTTCGTTATGGAATTGTGTCGGGTAGAGGGAGAATTAATGCTGATCAATTATATATAATATAGCTCTTGAATTATAAAATAACTTCATCAATTAATAACCATTGATTGACGATTTAATAAATTATTTTTCGTCAATAAATTTTATTCCCTTTAAAATATTTCTTTGTTCCTCTGGAAGCGCATTTACAAGACTATGCTTTGGTAGTGGGTAGTATAATTGTTGTAGCAGAGAGTAAATGGTACTCTGATTATTTGAACAGCAAGAATAATGATGAGATTTTGATTATTCTTCTACCTTTATTTATTTAATTCCTTGCGACAATAGTTAATTAATCTTGGCTTTTGACGTCCATCATCACCATACATAATAGCATTTTAATTCATTTACGTTATTTTATTTTATTTTCTTTGATTGAATTTGACGTCCGTAAAGAATAAGGACATAGGATCTCGAGTTTTTGAGCAAGGGTTGTTTTATCCCGGAATTTCTGTGACGTTAAAATTATATATTACCTACCCTTGCACTATCATACAGAACTTCAAATGGATGTGTATAATCTTATGAAATTTTTGCTTTGTAATTTATTCAAGCTACATTTTTCATTATGATGCATAGATAATCAATTGATACTATATGGAGGATATTGAATAATTTAAAAAAAACCGAGAAACAAAAAAGTGAAAAAAAAAATAGACAAGACGTTACTACATCCTTGAAATTTCTTTGTGGCATAATTGTTCACTTTGTCTGGTTTTGTTGCAACACATCCCATATGCAAAATATTATGATATAAATCTTCACTACCAATTGTACATCATAAAATTGTAGTGACGGAAGAGTAACTGCCCATTAAAGCTACCAATGCTTGAATCAATCCCCAAAAAAATGGAATCCAAACTGACATTTCAAATTTACCAAAGTTGTATAAAGCTCCTAAAACAAATCCTTTTTTTTTTTTTTCAAATAGATAAATTATTCCTTAAATTATTCTTTAATAATTCTTTTAATTAATTAAATTAATTAAAAATTTTTTTTTTTCATATTTACCAACTATCGTTCCTCCTAAAAGTCCTGATAATAATGCAACTCCAATAAATCCAATCGGAAAAAGAAATGACCATCTGTTCTTATGAAATACTATCCATGCCCATATTCCTGCCGTTCCATATATCACAGTATAAAATATTATTGTCCAGATAATTGTAAATAACCGAATATCTATAATATGAATAATGGTGTGAATAATAGACAGGGTATTTATTGTTTTTTGGGGGTATTAATTAATTACCATTCTGATTACATAAAATTACTTCATCATCTGATGGCCAATACAGTGAAGGCCAAGTGATAGAAAAATTTCCAATTTGCTCGCACATGCCAAAAAAAAAAATTTAAATTATTTGCATTTTTTAAAAAGAAATAATGCAAAAAATACAATGTGTAATAAATAAATAATTTCTGCCTCGGTTACACATCATATGCTCCATTTCTACCCAATCAAAATAAAGAACAGGTTCAGTTAACGTAACCGAGGTATGTGTAATGAAATGCGAGTTTTATTTACTTATCTATTAATATACAACTTATTTCTGGAGTGAGTTATGTTAGTAAATGACCTTAATTATAAATGGAATTTTGTTTGATCATTTAACAGAATTTAAAAATGAATAAAGAATGTCCATTCCTACTATCATCATGGTAGTGTGCTAATAAATTACTAATATTGCTACCAATTAATTAAAGAATCATCTCTGTTCAAATTCTACCTATTTGTTTGCGACTCTGCGATAAAAAAATCTTGAATAAATAAAATTTATTAGAATCATATCATATTTAAAGTTTTTAAAGAAAAATGCCTATTACTATCCTAATCTAGTTGTAAATTGAGAACTTCTTTCTACACTGCAGAACATGGGCTGTCTGAAAAAGAAAGCGTGCAGGAATGAATGTGGTTATACTGCAACAAGCCAGACAAAGTGAGCAAAGATCAAAATTTAAAAATGATGCGAATGTGTTACTGAGTGTTTATTTTTAATTGTCAAATATCCTCTATATCTAGTGTAAACCGAGTAATTGATTCAAGGAATGTATTTAATCCACGTAAATTTTTATTTTTTCCTCTTTGGTTTTGTTTTCTATTTTCTTAAATGATACATAGGATTGATTTATCCTTATATAAAGTGATATTACATCACAATTCTTTTTGTTTGATGAATTACACAATTGGTTTTTAACTAATTAAACATAAATTCAAGACAATGTTTTGTGTAGAGATGTTAATCGATTAATTTTTCGTAATCGATTTTTACATTGCAAATAGTAGTAATAGTAGCTTTATTTGTTTTATACCTATGAGTTAACAACTTTTACATATTACAGTATTAATAAACTGAAAGAATCTAGGTCACATGTCCAAAACACGATTGGATGTTACTTCAATAAATTCCGTGTTATTTACAACATAAATTTTAAAATTTGATTTTTTATTATTCTTTGACGAGTAAAAAATTATCAACAAATTTTTGTTCCGTTTCAAAAAAAGAATATGGTCAACAGACTGTGAGCTTAGTCTATTTTCGTAACAAAGTAATTTGTTATCCTGCATCAAAGGAAGAAGGAATTGCCAAATATTTTTTGACTAAAATAGCAAGTATTGGGATTTTTTTTCATTATCACACCACCATTTTAATGGTTCATTTCTCTAGTTGAGATTTCTAAATTAAAATTGTTTCAAATATTAATACACTCACTGGTCATAAATATAAGGACACTTGCAGATCATCGGAAATAATTGAACAAAGAAACATGAAAAAAATAAAAAATTTATTAACCTAACCGCATTTGCTTATTAAGTAAAAATTCATCGCCATATCAAATAGTATAGCATACTGAAGTTTCGCTGCATATGAACAACAACTCGTTGTTTTACGAACTTTAAAAAATAAAAATGAATTTTTCGGAATTTTCAAAAAATCTTTAACTCGAAAATTGACCACAATATCAAGTTCTAACAACCTTTGTGGTATAAATGAAAAATGCGTCTTATGTTTGAATCTAGTTATATCCAAAATTCTAGATCATTTAGTAAACAAAATACTCGAACAAGTTAATTTTTGAAGATCTTGCAGAAAATTTACTACCTTATATTAATGAATTAAGAGAGGTGAATCATGGCGGTGATGATGGTGATGATGGTCATGGTCATGGTCATAGTTGTGTGTTTATTTTTCAAGAAGATAATGCACCATGACATAAAGCAGCTGTGGCAAATCAATAGAAAGAGGAAAATCGTGTTATACTTCTCCCTTGCCTGCTCAAAGTCCAGACCTCAATCCTATTGAAAATTTATGGCAGGATTTAAAAATAAGACTTAGAATGAGAAACCCAAAACCAAAAAATAAAATAGAACTATTCAATTTATTAAAAGAGGAATGGTTTAATACTATTCCAGTGAGAATTAATAGATTAATAGATAGTATGCCACAAAGAGTGGATGCTGTTTTAAAAAATAAAGGAAACCCGACAAGATATTGATTTTTTTTTAATAAAATACAATCAATTTAAAACAGTTTCATATATTTTTTGATGTCTTTTATGTTTCAAATTGGTGAGCAGTTTGATGTTGAATCGTTTTGTAAAATTTTCTACATTTTATTTTTTTTCTCATTAATTATTTACCAAATGATTTAGAATTTTGGATATAACTAGATTCAAACATAAGACGCATTTTTCATTTATACCGCAAAGGTTGTTAGAACTTGATATTGTGGTCAATTTTCGAGTTAAAGATTTTTTTGAAAATTCCGAAAAATTCATTTTTATTTTTTAAAGTTCGTAAACAACGAGTTGTTGTTTATATGCAGCGAAACTTCAGTATGCTATACTATTTTATATGGCGATGAATTTTTATTTAATAAGCAAATGCGGTTAGGTTAATAAATTTTTTATTTTTTTCATGTTTCTTTGTTCAATTATTTCCGATGATCTGCAAGTGTCCTTATATTTATTACCAGTGAGTGTATACTACTACTACTATTATTATTATTTATTATTACTACTATTGTTGTTGTTGTTGTTAGCGCTGCTATTATGCTTATAATGTTTAGAATGAAATATGTATATTAATTTGTATATTATGTATGAATTTGTTCATTAGGTTATGGCATTTAATTTTTAAAACCAGACTTCTAAAATCGCTTCAAATATTACTATACTACTATTATTATTACTATTGCTATTATTATTGTTATTATCATTACTACTGTTAATTTATTTAAAACTTGATTTTTTTTCGATTTTTTTGATTAAATTGATAATTGATTGTGGAAAAATCAATTTTTGTATAATCGATTAACATCCCTATATAACAAACAAATACAAAAAATCATTAATCAATATTCAGAGCGAATCACCAGCTGAATGTGTTGATCATGACAGCAAAACAAATATAACAATAAACCCAACAGCATATATGGATGACACCATTTGGGCAGCAAAAAATAAAGAAGAATTGACCAAAATCATAAAAACAACAAACCACTATTACAATTTCATGAAAATAAGAGCCAACTGGGAAAAATCAGACCTAATGCTCCTAAACAGTAACAATAAATCAAAAATCCAAATGGAAAACATAACAATAACACCATTGGAACCCAACGACACAATAAGATATTTGGAAGTATACTTCAATGGAAAAGGTAGCAGTTCACCAAACAAAGAAAAAATCTTAAACAAAATGAAACTTTTTCATGACACAATCATTAGAAAGAGAATAAACCACATCCAAGCTGCAGACATATTTCAAGTAGTAATAAGACCACATATAGAATATCTATTACAGACTATCACATTAGACAGCTTATTAACCAAAACTTTCAACACACTAATAAAAAAAATAATCAAAATCAAAGCTAGAGTTAATAACAAAACACAAAATCTCACATTCAATAACATAATAAACAAGTATATTTCAGAAATCCAAGAAATATACATTATTGCAAATAGCAACCTGTTACGTAGATTAAGGAAAATAAACAATAAAACACTCAATAAAACTATTCAAATTTGTTTAAAAGATTGGAAACATCAAGCCTGGTTCCACTCAATAAATCAAAATGAATACTCAAAATTCATTAAAGAAACCAAGAACAATTGGATTGCACATAACCTAGTAACATTAGACACATACAATATCAAACTAAATAAAGAAATCTTTTTGTTAGAAGAAAGCCTAATATCACAGATATCAGGAGCATATTCACTACAACAGAATATTTAAAATTCAAAAACAGTATATTGCATTTTTGTCTCAGCATTTACAGTTTGATTTGTCATTAAAAAATAATTCAAATCTTGAACAGCTTTAAACATGAATTCATTTGGCTCATATGCATCCAATCCTAAATCATATAGTTCATCTGAAAAAGTAAGGGTTTCAGATAATTCCATGGTATCATTATGAATTAAATCTTCTGGTAATTCAAAATTTAAAGACATGTTTTATTTTTTTATAATAAGATTTGGGTATTTGTATTGGATATTTATTCTTTTTTCTAGAAAAATTTTTTGCACTATTTATAAAGATTTTAATTGAATGAAAATTAAAAAATTTGGTCATTTCACCCAGTGTGTAAGATTCAGCAGGATGGTGTAACGTTACGCAACCCGCGTGCACACATTTTTTAGAAATTTTTAATTTAATTATTATAATGAATATTGTATTATCCTTGTTTTTTATTTTTCCAATGCTCTAGTGCTTTTAAAAAATCAAAAATTTCAATTTGTGGTCCATTATTAAATGATCATCTAATGTGTCTACATTCATTTGTTTTCTCATATTATTTTTAATTAACTTTGTTTGAGAAAATCTTCTTTCTACATGAGCATTAGAAAGGGGTATAAGAAATCCTATTCTAGCAACTAATAATATATTTGAATTATTAAAAGAAAAATCCTCATCAGTATCTAAATTGTGTTTTCACAACTGAAAGAAATTGATTTCTCTATTATTATTTTATAGTACTGAAGAAAAGTTCGTTGAATTTATTCTTGTTAAGTTCTCCTTTGTCAATGATTCCACTAAATTTATTTCCATTTACAAATTTAATTTCTCCATAAAAATCACCTATAATTGCATAAGTGACAAATTTAAATTTTAGTTAATTTATTTCGTGCACACATATTTATAGTGTAACGTTACACCTTCCTGCTGAATTTTATACACTGATTTCACCATTCAATTTTGTCTTACTAAAGTTATTAAAGTGAAAATTTCAGCCATTTCACCAAGATTTATTTTTAATAATAGTCAAACGATGTTGGGGTGTGCAACATTCTAAGAAAATCAAAACTAATTAATGTCATATATTGATTGGTTATATGTGATTTTTTTGTGATCTGCATATCATATACAGGATTTCTGAAATTTACATAAAGAACATATTAAACATATTGTTTTCAAAACACAACTCCTCCTCCATTTTCAAAGATACAGGCATTAAATTTTCATGAAAGGTAGTATATACATTATACTTTAGAGCCATGGAAAGATTTAATAGATTAAAAATACCGGTGGCATAAAAAAACTCATTTGAAATACAGAAAATTTCTTTCTTTATCATAATACTTTTATCTATTGCAACTTCTGAAAAAATTGTATGAAATAAAGATTCTCTCTCCATAGCACTGTTCTACAAATGTAACCTAATTAAAAACCTCTAATAATTTTATAAATGTAATGATTTTCCAGAAGCCTTAGCAATTATTAATAAAACGTTAATAAAACATGCTGTTTTCAAACCACTATATACTCCTTGTCTGTTTTCAAAGATATGGACACCAAATTAGTGTGCAAGATAGTATATGTAATATAAATTAGAGCTATGGAAAGATTTAATGAATATAAAAATATCAGTAGCGTAAAAAAACTCATTTGAAATACAGAAAATTTCTTCTTTATCATAATACTTCTATCTATTGCAACTTCCGAAAAAATTGTATGAAATAAAGATTCTCTCTCCATAGCACTGTTCTACAAATGTATCCTAATTAAAAACCTCTAATAATTTTATAAATGTAATGATTTTCCAGAAGCCTTAGTAATTGAAAGTTCATAATACTAATAAAATGCTAATAAAACATGCTGTTTTCAAACCACTACTCCTTGTCTGTTTTCAAAGATATGGACACCAAATTAGTGTGCAAGATAGTATATGTAATATAGATAAGAGCTTTGGAAAGATTTGACGGATGTAAAAATACCATTGGCATAAAAAAGCTCATTCAAAATACAGAAAATTTCTTCTTTATCATAATACTTCTATCTATTGCAACTTCTGAAAAATTTGTATGAAATTAAAATTCTCTCTCAATAGCACTGTTCTACAAATGTATCCTGATTAAAAACCTCTAATAATTTTATAAATGTAATGATTTTCCAAAAGCCTTAGCAATTGAAAGTTCATAATACTAATACTAATAATGTAATAACATATTTGAAAATATATTTTGTTACAGTTTCCTTTTTTAGAGAAAAAAAGAGGTACCATAAAAAAATCTGCATATATGTATTTACATTATGACATTAATTAGATTTGTTAATCAACTTATATCGAATACCCCAGAATGATGTGTCACATTAAATGATTGGGAAGTGTATTTTCTGAAATTTTCTGGTGATCAATGTTGAAATTCTATTAATAAAATTAGCCACAAACCTTAATTTTTGCTTGCCAATCTCCACCAAATTTGAGACACAGATTTTTCAAGACTTATTCCTTCTTTTAGAAAAAAATTAGGAGAGGTTATTAATAAAATAAAAAAAAATCTTGGTGTTAAAGTTTATCAACCAAATTACCACATTTGGAAACTAATTATCTATTTTTGGTTATGACTCCTGATAGTCTCATGCCCACAATTTTTTCCTTTTTGTGTATTGATAAATAAATTTATCAAAATTTAGTATGTTTTTTGCCATTTTCACTAAACTTTAATAAACAACAATCCACATAAAGCTACACCTAAATGAAAACTTACAATATTTTACATCTCTTCAACCACTCATCAAGTTTGTAAAGGTAATATTGGTAAAAAATCTTATCTTTGAAGTAAAAAAGTAATGCTGTTTTTGAATAAATACAGCTTGACATAGAGAACCTCTATAAATATGGGAGAGGGCTCATTAGGAAGCTATAATGTCATAGTTTTATCTTTGATTAATAATGATTTTTGAATTTGTTATAAAAGTACAGTCTGCCCTTGTTTCAACAAAGTGGCTGGACATATAAGAAAATTTTATTCAACATTCGTTGAAACAAGGTTACTAATCACATTTCAATGAATTTTTATATGTTTCACGATGTGTAACAACGTTTTTAAAAATTTGTTGTATCAAAAATTTAATTATACTTTGTTGAAACAAGAGTTTACTGTAATGAGATATTTTAAAAAACTGATTTGTTACATGAGTCAGGTTTTCTATTTTATATATGTAATTACACTTCCTGTGACATATCATTTGACTGATAATTCTTAATTCATAATCTAAAAATAGCATCAAATTTTTGGAGTTCAAAATAATCAGATCTCATGTAACAGATTTTTGATCTACAGTCAGCACTCGATATAATAATTGGTTTTGACAAAAAACTTCACTATATAAAAAGATCGGCAAAATTTTACAAAAATCCCATGATACAACTTTATTAAAAAAAAAATTATAAAAATACATAAAAAAATAAAAATAAATAAATAATATATAAAAATAATTATTTAGTAATCCAACTATCCAGTGTGCTTTGTTTTTTTTTTAGAAGCAGTATGTTTGGATATGTGGTTTTTAATTACTTTTATTTATAAATTCAAAAGTAAGATTTTCAGGTGGATCTTGAATATATGAAAGGACAATGTTTAAAGATTCTAATGCCTCTTTTGTAGTAATTCTTTGATTAACAATTGATAATTAATCTTCTGACTCAGACTCAGCTGTTAATAATTTCTTCATCAGTAATTTCAACATTTCCAAACTCTTGGATTTCATTATCAATTCTAATAAAATCCTCTGCACTCAACCTATCAGAAGCTTCAATATTTCTTAGTCCATTAATTAGGCTCTGAAGTTCATGATATTCTTCTGAATGAGTTGATCACTTGTACCACTTGTTTCTATTCCCATGGCATCATCTAAAGTAGGTAAAATTCCTGTCTTTAACCAACAGTTTCTAATAGTTTCAGAAGTTACTTCATTCCAAGCTTTAGCACAAAGTTCA